AAGGGACAAAGCATTTTTGTTGACTCCTGCAAAGTGGACATAATAATGCTAGTTTCACAGGTAGGGAACCAAAATACACATCCAAGGTCACATAGCTGCTAGGTTCTAGAATAACTTTGTATCTTCAGGCCCCTCGTGCACATTGTGGTTTGGATCGCAGAACACATACAAATGTTTGAGGAAAGGAAGTAGAAGTCCCAGTAGTCATTTTTTTACTTGCATCTAAAATCCAGCTAAATTAACTAGGAATGTTTTACCAAGAAAAGATTTATATTGGGATTGTGATAAATTGCATTATTGGCTCAAATTCTTCTTTTCTCCCTGTCTCCACATCCTTTGACATATGACTTCAAAGTTCCTCACAAGAGAAAGACAAAATATTTTTTCCTGCCTCTCAACTCTGTGACATATTGTGGCCAACAGCATGAGGCAGAAGTGACAGTGTGCTGCTGCTAAGACTAGACTTTAAGATTGACTGACATGCTGCCAATTGCTTGCCGGTATCTGGACTATTACCAGGAGCAGAGTATGCCTGATCCAGCCCAGAGGCCCCAGGAGAAGCTTGAGAGATACATGGAGCAGAGCCTCCCCAGCAAAGATGCCCAGACACACCCAGGAGAGAGTAAAAACCCTGTCAACCTGCAGTAAAAACTCCCTGAGCTAGGGCTGTGGCTCAGGAGTAGTGCACTTGCCTGGCATGTGTGAGGACTGGATTTGATTCTCAGCACCACATTATTTATTTATTTATTTATTTAAATAAATAAAATAAAGATCTATCAACAACTAAAAATATATTTTTTAAAAAATTAATTTTAAAAAAAAACCTAAAAATTTGCCTGGTGCAGTCTGCCTGAGCAGTAGTGAGTTCCCAGTCTCTGAAGGATTAATACAGAAGGAGCCCAATCTCCTCTGACAGTGAATTCCTACATTGGGAGGGTGGTTGGAACATACCAATAACTGTTCCCAGGCTTTTGCTCTTCCAAGGACAATATATAAAAATAACTACTGTTTACTACCACCATCAATTCATAAAAGATAGGATGTTTTAACACTAAACTGAAGAAAGGAGATAATCTTAGAATACAGCACAGTCATTTCTAAGCAAAGACACTTGGCCATCCTCCATATGTGAGCCTTTTTTCTTTCATTCTGTCACAGATCAATGAAGATTTGGTCACTAAATAGCTCCCTTTCCTGTATGAGCAAATTTCCAGAATGTTTTATGTAGGAATAAGGGAGAACATGAAATCAGTTACATAAATTGTGATTTAAATCTTGGTTCTGTTTGTTCTATGACAACATAAAATTAGCTTTTTCTCCATCAAGGTAGAAAAAAAGCTAAAGACAAATTTGAGCACCTCCACTGCGCCTTCTCCATTGGCCACCACCAGCCTTGCTGAGCAGTCAGTGCAGCTGTCAATCCCCTACTTCCACAGAAGGTTTGAGTTGCACTCTGCAGGCATCTGAGGTGCTGTGCTCTGCTCCCATGGCAATAATAATGTGTGAGTTAAGAGGAAAGTGGTGATTCAAATGGAGGCTCCATGGGGGCTTCAGGAACACATGATGTGACAGAAGTGAGGGGCAGGGAATCCCTGGGACCAGCTCCAGGGGCACATGTCTCAGTCACTTGTATTGATCACCTTCTCTCTGAGCCATAAGGAATCACTTAATAGATGCTACTGTCATACTCTACCACACTGTGGAAGCCAGGCTGGTTCTGGCTAATTAAATGTGTGCAGTAATGGCAGGTATCAGTTTCATGTAGAAGCTCTAGGGTCACCGTGTGGCTCACCAAGTCTTTTTTTTTCCTTATAATCTAACATGGGACTATCACAGTTTCCAACAGAGGTGGCTCCCTTGGTTTGAGGCCCAGATTAAAGTCTAAAATCAACCCCTGGGGCTGGGACTGTGGCTCAGCAGTAGCGCATTTGCCTGGCATGTGTGAGGCACTGGGTTCGATTCTCAGCACCATGTATAAATAAATAAAATAAAGATCTATCAACAACTAAGAAAAAAATTTTAAAAGAAATCAACACCTGATGGGCATGAGACATAGGTAAGAAATAAAACTTGTTTGTGGTTGGACTGCAAATTGGTGCAACCACTATGGAAAGCAGTATAGAGATTCCTCAGAAAATTTGAAATGGAACCACCATTTGACCCAACTATCCCACACCTCAGTTTATACCCAAAGGACGTAAAATCAGCATACTACAGTAATTCAGGCATGTCAATGTTTATAGCAGCTCAATTCACAATAGCTAAACTATGGAGCCAACCTAGGTGTCCTTCAATAGATGAATGGATAAAGAAAATGTGGTATATATACTCAATGGAATATTACTCAGCTTTAAAGAAGAGTGAAATTATGGCGTTTGCCAGTAAATGGATGGAGCTGTAGAATATCATGCTAAGCAAAATAAACTAATCCCAAAGAAGCAAAGGCTGAATATTTTCTCTAATATGCGGATGTTAATTCACAATAAGGCTGGAGGTGGGGGCACTAGAGAAGAATAGCGTTACCTTAGATTAGGTAGAGGGAAGTGAAGGGAGGGAAGTGGGGATGTGGGGATAGAAGAGGTAGTAGAATGAAACAGACATTATTACTGTATGTATATATGACTACATGACCAATATGATTCTACAACATGTACACTCAGAAAAATGAGAAATTATTATCCCATCTATGTATGATATATCAAAGTACATAAATGCATTCTACTGTCATGTATAACTAATTGAAACAAATAAAAATCAATTAAAAAACTTATTTAATAGAAGTCTTTGGAATTGGAAACCTGGGATCTAATCCCAGCTCCGACGCTTCATTCCCACCTTCAGCCATTCCCGTCATGGATACTTACTATACCAGGCACTAGGGGAACAGACAAGGCCCTGAGCCTGACAGACTCACATTCAGGTAGGAGAACGGAAAACAAGAAATAAGACAAATAACAATGGGGTGAATGCCTTTAAGGAACTAAACAAGGCAAATTAAGGAAAACTGCTTCAGGAAAGAATTCTCTGAGGAGGGGATAGGTCAGAGGAAAAATAAAGATGTGTCAGCCATGCAAAGAGCTGGGGAAAGAGAACAAACTCAAGCAGAGCAATCACAAGAGCAAAGGGCCTAGACAGAAAGAAGATGGCTCTTTTGAGGAGATCAAAATAAGTTCAGAGCTTTGAGAGCAAGGAGAAAATTCTGGCATGTGGGAATTGAGTAGGATCTGTCACTTGGGGACATGTGGGCTCCAGAATGGACTTTGGTTTTCACTGCATGTATAGAGAGAAGCAGGAGTGAGGGTACTGGCATGGGAGTGACAGGAACAAATTATATTTAAAAGATTTTTCAGGATGTTATGTGGAGGATAAATCGTGGAGGCCCCCAGTGAAAGAGACAGACCAACAGGGCTCCCCACAGCCTGGATGGGTGGCCACCACTTTTGTGACCTTCAGCAGTCCTTCTCAGCACTGCATCTCAGCTGTCCTGTCTGTAGAGTGCCAGCTGCCTGCACCTCATATTTCATAAGTGCTTTGGGCTCCTGGAGGTGGGGATGAAGGTGCAGATGGCTCACCCATGCTCGCCCAGGCATGATTTCTTCTAAGTGCCACAGCTGCCTCTCCTGGAGCCAGAAGCCATGTCCAGAGCTTGCCTGGGAAGGCCTCCCTCTGCCATCTGCCCGTCAACCCTAGAGATACCACAGTCTCTAGTGCACATCATGACTCTGGGTTCATCTCTCCATCTGGAGAGAACTGAGAAGACACAGAAGCTCGCCAGGAAGCAAGGAGGTAGTTCACAACAGCAGAATAAATGCAGGGGAAATGCAGGCCAAGGGTGAGGCTAGTCAAGCTCCCGGGAGACTGGCAGACAGGAAACAGGCAGGTAAGGGTCAAATGGGTGATAATGGTAGCAGGGAGATCCTTTCTATCCAGGGGAGCTCCCAGGCAAACCTGAGCTCAATGCTGGCTAGGAAGGGAAGGTTCAGGGAGCAAGGTCAAGATTCAGCTTCCCCAGAGGAACTAGATGGTCTCTGCCCAGCTGCTAGAGGGTGAGGCCACAGGCAGCCAAGAGGAGACACCCCAGCTGAGACCGTCCTGAATCAGCCAGCCCCATCTGGCCCTCTAGCTGCTCAGAGACACATGAGCAAGCTCAGCCAAGATCATCTGAGCCCAACCCAAACTAGAACTGCCACACTGATCCAGAAATTCATGAAAAAAAACAATAAATGCTTGTTTGCCTGAAGCTGCTGAGTTCTGGGGCAATTTGCTTTGCAGCAATACTAACTGATACAGAGGGGACTGGTGGCTGGTAACCATTCCTATTTCCCTGTAGCCAGTCTGCTGAAGTCACGGTGCTGTTTCTTTGCTTGAAGTCACTACGTAAGCACATCACTGGAGTGGAGTCATGAGCAGTGAAATGTACTCTTGAACTTGACTTTCAAGTTCCTTGGCATGCCTTATGAAAACCTCTTCCTCTCTCTGTGCCTCAGTTTCTTATCAATAATAGAGGGATTGAATGACTTCCAATACCTAATCCTCTGTGTTTGGACAACTCTAACCTCTCTATTCAGCCATCTGTCATCTAATCAACATGGATTTTTTTCAGAGTTTACAGTGTTAGGCTGTGGCCAGAATCCCAAGGTACAGGCTCAGACACAAAGCTATGTGTCCTGCCCACTAGGATCTCTGTACCCACTGAGAACTCACTGCCTTGTGAGTATTGGGGAGATGCCTTAGAGGAGCTTTGATGGCCAAGGAGGTCACATGGTGACAGCAGTAGAAAGGACTCATGTTCACCCTTCCCAGCAAATACAGTGGTCCAGCACCCCAGGTGCCTCCAGGCTCCTAGACTCCTGCTGGAGCTGCTGGGGCCAGAACAGAGGCATCCTAGAATCTAAAGACCTCTGCACCCTGGTTATAGCTGCCCTTCATGACCCATGCTCCAGCCAGAGAGTGGCAGATGTGTGGATACATCTTTTCTCAAGCCCAGAAAATGGCCCTACCATGGAACCAGGGAGCGATCGACTTGGTGTTCCTCTCGAAGCCAGCTCGGCGAGGCAGCTGCTCCTCCTTAAACCAGCGGACAATGACTTCTCTGGAGAGTGGACGCAGTGGGCGCTCCCAAGTCCTGCTGAGAAGACAGGGGAAAGTGGAAGAGTCAGGGAGGGATGGAGGAAGGAGGGAAGGGGAAGATAGGGAACAGGAAGAAGTGAGAGGGAAGAGGAAGGGGGATGGAATGAAAAAGGAAGGGAGGGAGAAGGGGAAGAGGGGACACTGAGCATGAATAAGCACAATACCCACATTCATGCCATGAAGAGGATTCAACAAGTCCAGGTACTTGAAGGCACTTTGCAGATTATTATGTAGCAGCTATTATTGTTTTTCCCCAAAGGACACTGTTAACACTTGCTGCAAATAAAACCACATGGGTAAGCACAGAAAGAAAATAAGAGATAACCAAAGCAGGGGAAACCTTATCCTTCCCTCGGGCATAGGCCAGGTCATAAGCATCAGCATCCGTGAATAAGGATCCTAGCAGAGCAGGAGCAAATTTATTAATGTGGGAGTGTCCTCTACCCACCACTAAAGTGAGTTCTGATTTTTTACCTCCCATGCCTTCCCTCTGCCATGCCCTGTCCCTGAGGAGACACCTGCCTTTGCCAGCGAGCTCCTGTGCTTTCGTGAGCAGAATCAGGAAAATGCACAGAAAGAGACCAAAGAACATCAATTTGCCCTGGAAATGCTGAGACTCTCCACCCAGGAAATAAAGAACATAAGGGAGAGGAGAGAGAGGGGAAGGGAACAAAACTTCACCATGGCCAGGAGATCAGTGAGGGATGGAAGATGGAGGGAGAGATGAAGAAGCAGCAGCAGGTGAAGATCTGAGTGATAAATTAGACACTTTTCATATTTTCTCACAAAGAAAGTCAGGATTTCCATTGTTTTTGTTTCTGAATGGTGGTTCTTGAATGCACAGAAATTGGGCCACATAAGACCCCTGTCGTATCTGAGTTATACTAAAATAAAGCACATTGGGAGTTAGAGAGCACATGCCAGGTAACAGGCCAGGCACCCAACAACCGTTTGCTGAATAAATATGTAGTAAGACCACCCTGTGTTAATTCATGCTATGAAAACGCAAGGCCTGAAGAACAAAGCCTTGGCCCACTTGGACATCCTTAGCCTCTTCACTGAAAGGTAGGAACCTGGTAAATTCTTATTTTGTCACTACTGTCACTACTCGTTGTGGCATTTAGAAGTCACCCCTGTTGCCATTGGTTTCCTTTTTTAAAACAAACAACTTTACATTTTCTTTGTACCAACATTTTGACGCTGAGCACAGTACCTCCTTTCAATCCTCAGAATAGACCTACTTACATACACGTGTATATGCAAACACACACACACACACACACACACACATACACACAGTACTGAACACTGTAGAGTTCAAAAAAGATTCTGGAAGAAAGACAAAGGGTGAAGTTACATTTCACAGTTTACAGCCAGTGTTTCTGTCCAGGTTCTGCTTCTCCACCTCTCCACCCCACAGCTAGTCCTGCTCTCTCTTCTGTCCTCCCATGGGAAGGTCTCCTCCTTCTCAGTACCCTCCGGTGCCTTTCCTCTCAACTAAGCAACACAGGGCAGTCCAGCCTCTTCCTCTACATTTGTATTCCCCCAAAAAATAACTGTGTCAGAGGAAAGAATCCTTAGTTTCTAGGACTCTGTCTCCTTAGAAGGTAACAGGAGGTTAAAAATAACAGCAAAAAAAAAAAAAAAATGCACTCCCTCTTGTCCTTCTGTTTCTAAGCAGTAAAACTGAATTGTTTCTAAGTAGAGTTTTGATTTTTATTTATGTTTTTTGTAGTGCTGGGGATTGAACCCAGCACCTTGCATGTGCTAAATGCGTGCTCTACCATCCCTTTTACATTTACATCTAAGCTACATTCCCAGCCCTTTTTTTTTTTTTTTTCATTTTAAAGGCTGGACAGGGTCTTGCTAAGCTACCCAGGCTGGCCTCAAGCATGTGAGTCTCCTACCTCAGCCTCTCTGCAGAATTGCTGGGATAACAGGCATGCGCCACCACACTCAACTCTAAACAGAGAATTTCTAAGCAAGGAATTTGATTCCCCAGAATATAAATGCTAGGGCAGGTGCTCCAATGGGGCTACCTAGCCAGAAGCCTCATTTCTGCACCTGTGACTCTCCTCCTATCAGTAATGTGTGTCTACCCTTTAGCACAGTCAGACAAAGAGGTGCTGGGCAGGGCCAGCACCATCAAGCTGAGGGCAGTGGTGCTAGGAAGACAGATGTACACCTCTCTGTGTGTCCAGTCCTGTTGCTCCAACTACCTGGCATCTTGACCCCCTCAAGGCCGGCTGCAGGGCCACCCCTTCCCTATTGACCACATAGCTAACCTGGAGCCAAGTTCACCATAGTTCATATGGTTCTATCATCTGGGCAAATTATGGGTTTCTTTAAAAAAAAAAACGCAAAAGTGGAAGTGAGCTTTTCTAACTATTCAGAAAACATAACAAAATTAAACCTCAGAAAAATCAAGAATTTATACATGATGGAAAATTCCATCACAAACATCAAAAGATCAATGACAAGCAGAGAAAAAAATACTTATCACAAACAAAGTTTCCTTTTCCCTAACATGTAAAGAGTTCCTAGAAATTGATAAGAAAAAGAATAGTCACACTATGAAAAAATGATTAGGGGAATGAACAGACAGATAAAGAAATACTAATGGCCCTAAAACAAATATAAAAGACTATATAAGTAGAAATGCACATTTAAACTTGCTCTGAGATGTTATTTCTCACACAAAACAAAAGTCTGACAAAGCACTGTTGGCCAGGCTAAAGAATAAGAGTGGGCTGATATAAGGAGGCTGATTCATAGTGAGGTTGGGAGGGGGAGTAAGGGAGGAATAGACAAACTGTAGATAGGGCAAAGGGGTGGGAGGAGAAAGAAGGGGGCATTGGGGTAGGAAAGACGGTGGAATGAGATGGACATCATTACCCTTAGTACATATATGAAGACACGAATGTGTGAATATACAACCAGAGATATGAAAAATTGTGCTCTATATGTTTTTTGAACTGTAATGCATTCTGCTGTCATATATAACAAATTAGAATAAAAAGTAAAATTTTAAAAAAGAAGAAGAAGAGTGTGAATTGGTTTGAGGCTTGAGGAGGGCAAGCTGAATTGTTAATGCACTTAGACCTTGACCCAGTGATCCCACTTTTGAGAACTCCTCTTTCAGATAATGATTGCATACATATAATTTCTTTCATTCTGTCATTTATTCAGGGCACTGTTGGTTATAACCAAAGATTTGAAACAACACTAATGCCCACTAATAGAGTTTTTGATAAATAAATTATAGCACATCCATGCAGTAGAATACTAGGTAGCTATTAGAAGCTGGTGGGAGTGGGGATAAGACTTTTCATGTTGGTGACTCTAAAGAGAAACTGGGTGGGCACAAAGGACACTGAAGAGCCATAATGACCTGTGGGGAAGAGGGACTTCGGCAGATGGAATGCAGAGGAGGCAGTCAGATTCTTCTTGGTGCAGTCTACCTTATTAAACTTTCCGGTTTGAGAACCTTACATGACAAGAAAGGAAAGGAGTGGGGAGAGAAGGAGGGAAGAACTGGAGACCTGGTCAGCTCTCCCTGGACTGCAGGGGAAGGAAACAGGAGGTTATGAATAATCTCAAACTCCAATTAAAGCACAATTCATACCACCCCCACTCTCTGGTGGTGAACTGACTTCCAAGTGTTCCCTGTAGTAAAGGGAGAAGCAGGTGCTCACCACCCACCTCTGGGCCCTGCCTGTTTTTTTTGTTCTTTTTTTTAATTCCCCTGAATATAAATGCAATCATGTGGAATAGGGTCTAAAAGGAGCCAAACCCCATGGCTGGCCTTCAGTGGAGACAAGTGGAAGGTTCAGAGGCCATCTGCAACCTCTTGACCTTTAGTCCTGGCAATCATGGGAAGTCCTTGCTGAACAAACCTCCTGGGGACACAAATGTATGAGAGGACCCTCCTGTACTCAGCCACACCTAATATGCAAATCTGCTATTCAAACAGGTTAAACCAGCATCATTGGTATGTAGAAAAGGCCCAAACCCTGGATTCTGGGTTGTTGGGCCTTATATACCTTATTACACCAATCTGAGGCCTTTCATTATAACTTGCTGACTAGGGCCCATGGCTCTTTAGGAGTTAAGAATTGTGTGCATTTTGAGGTATGTATATATGCACATTTTGAGGGGAAGAAGGTATCCAGCTTTCTTCAGATTGTCAAAGGGACTCATAGGACTCTAAGTTGTTAGAAATTTCCAAACCCCATCCCACTGCATCTCCTTCCACCCTGAAACACAGACTAGGCACACAGAGGGGAAATAACTAGCAGGTTAGGGGCAGAGCCCAGAATGGAACTAGGTGTGGCATGCCCCAGTTCAATGCTCACCCCACAACCCCACAAATGTCAACGTGGATCCCTGACTCACCTTACAGGCACAGCGAGGGGTGGTGGTGGACCAGGACCAGGAAGATGGTGGTAGAGTCTTGATTCCTGCTCATGGTTCTGGCCGAGCTCCTGGAACATGGAGCTAAGGCCAGCAACTGTACCCTTCTGGATGGCACGGAGTGAGTGGCGCCGGTACTCATCTCGGGCACGCTGGGCCCTGCGGCTCCTCTCCTCATCAGCTGCCTTGGACCTGCGCACTGAAAAGGGGGAGATGGTGTGTTGGTCTGCACCTATGGCCCAGGCTGTAACACTGTGCACATACAGGTGGATTCTCTAGAAGCTGGCCACCAGACCTATTTGTGCTACAGGGAGGTTTGGAGCCTCTGGAAATAGTAGGGCAGGCTTAGCCCTAAAAGCATGGAGGAAGGGCAGAATCTTTTGGTAACTTTCATTCTTCATGTATAAATACATGAAGGTATTTATAGACTCCAAGACACCCTTCTTTTTGGCTTTCCACATTTTCATGTTCCTCAAGGTAGAGCCCTGTCACAGCCAAATGGCCTTGAAAAGGCCAGTATATTGCTGTTTCAAAAACCCAGAAAAGTCTAGAACTGAGGAAACGAAGGAAAAAGAACGAAGTCTATTAAACTCAAGGTCTGCCATTAAAATGAGTTATTTTGTAGTTTGATTGCATTTTATCACACCCCTATCTGCCACTCAAATCCACAAGTTCTTTGATAGAAAACCCCAAAGCTAGCTTTGGTCTTCTAATTGTGCAAGGCTAGTGATTGCCCTGATCCAGCAGTTCACCTTCCCCTCTTGGAGGAAAATGATACTTGTAGTCCACTTGTCCTCCACCTCCATTCAACAGTCACAAAGCAACAACCCACCACCTATCAAAAACTGCATTTTTATTAGTATTTGGAGGATACAAAGTAAGTTGCCCTAGTCCCAGAATAAATCATTCTTCTTCACAGGCAGTCAAAGAACTTTTTCCAGGAGGATAACATAACTGAGAAAAAAATTCCGTCTTTAAGAAGGTATTTATAGAAGTGCCCCTCATGGAAGTCACATACAGAATATCCACTTGGCTGTGAGCTCCATGAGGGCAGGTAGGGAATTTTCTTTGATCTGCCCATTGTTGGCATTGTTTCCAGTGCCTGGAAAGGGTTGGCAAGCAATACACATTTTTGGATGCCTGAATGCTCCTGATTAAGTCTTTAAATTTGTATTTGGCCCTGAGCTGGATAAAGAGATAACAAAGAAACAGACCTTTCTTTAAAAGCTCTCTAGGCCAGGGTAGGAAAACAAGAGAAGTAAATATCTCCACCTTAATGAAGCAGGTCGTGAGCATTATTTAGAAGAGGACCAATAAAGCACTGTCAGCATGTAGGGTCTGCAGCCCTCACAACCTGCTAGGGAACTAGAACCATAACAGAGGAGAGAATTGAACCAGGCTATGCTATAAGGTAGATGTGGTTTGTTCTCATCAAAACTCATGTTGAAATTTGGTTGCCAGGTAGTGGTGTTGGGAGGTGGAGCCTTAAGAGGTACTAAGATTTTTTCTGTTGACAGTAGGGCTAGTTTCTATGGGATAAATTATCTGCAGGTTGTTATAAAGCAGGTCTATTCCCTTGTTCCCTCCCTCTCTCCCTTGCTTTTGGACTTCCAGAACAATGAAAAAATAAAATAAACCTCTTTACTTTAGGTTGCAGTGCAGCGCAAAGCCTGACCCAGGACCTTGATCTTGTCTGAATTATGAATTACTTAGTCTCAGCTATTCTATTATAGCAACAGAAAATGAACTAAGACAGTCTGGAAAGATCAAGAGGAGTTTTTCAGAGAAAGGAGGAGGAAAAGGCTATTCCAGGAAGAAAAGCGGTGTTTGGGGTCCCATTGACTCCTCTGTAAGTTTCAGATAGTATGAACACCATGAAACCTGCCTTGCATTGTCGGGAGGAGGTTCAGACAAGATCAAGATGCCCTGGGACAGGCTTTGCACTGTACTACAAACTAAACGGCAAACTACACACTAGAAGCTCACGCCCTACAAGGACTTCTGGAAGTTGCAGAGAGACGCAGTGACACTCAACTGATTAACAGTCAGGGGTTTTGCTTCTGGCTCCCTGTTTGGCCTGGTACAACTTCTCATCTCTCTGGGTCTTAGTTTTCCCTCCCTGAAAAATGGAGATAGTAGCATCCTAATCTAAAAGCTGCCAAATAGCTAGTTTACTCCAGAATCATGCCCTTATCTGTGCTCAGGGTTCCTGCTCAGTTCTCTGACACAGCGGTTGTTTTTCCTCTTGACAGAATCCCCATGAGCAGTTACACAGCTCCATAAGTACAACCAGGCTAGTTGTTGAAAGAGGAAGGATTTTTACCTATTTCAGCAATAGGCAAGGTGTCTGCATTTATTCAGCACAAGTCTTAGGCCTACTCGGTACCTATTCCGTGCTGCACAGGGACACTGCTTTTACTGCAAACTGAGCACTGAGTACAGCTCCCGGGGGCACAGTCACAGCATGGTCACCATAGAAGTGTACAGCAGTTCTAACAATTTTCTGACAGATGGCAGTTCAGCATCTTGATGAGTGGGTCTCTAGATCAAGATCACCATTATCAGCAGGCGGCTGGGCCTGTGGTAGGCCGTGTGGACCAGCAATGTCTTGCCCTGAGAGGACTTACTGTCTCATAGGAGAAACACATCTGTGAGCAGTGAATGGAATTGTGGTGGGAGTGTGCACAGGTGCTGGGGCTCCAGAGGAGGGACACCCCAGCCAGCCAGCGACATCCTCTGAAGGGGAAACATCTAAGCTGATGTCCGATGGACACCCAGGATTCAACCAACAGAGGCCAGAGGAAGGACATCCTAAGCAGGGGAAGATCATGTGCAGAGACCCAGAGGCAAGAGGGAGTGGAGCATGGACAGAGGGAAGTGCTCAGAGGGAGGGGACAAGTGACAAGGCTGAACAAACAGAAAAGGCCATTTGGGAGATCAATAGCTTATGGCTAATGAGTTCTAATCCTTTACCAAAAGGTGACTGTAAGTCACTGGAAGGTTTCAAACAGGAAAGAAGGATGCTAGTTTCACTTTTAAAAGATTGGGCTACCGTGTTGGTAATAAATTACACAGGAACAAAACTAAAGACTTAGAAAACAGAAATTCAGTCAGGCCCCAGTGGGACTTAGATGGTCTCAGGAAAATGGCCAGGGCAATCAGGATGAAAACTCAGAGAAATTAACAAGTAGAACCCTCAGAACCCTGGAAGGTTTTAGATTGGTAGTGAGCAACAGGCAGAGAGCAGAGACAGCCAAGTTTCTACCTTGGACAACCAGGGATGAGCAGGCGGGGTAGGGGTGAGCTTTAGACATGAGGAGGAAGTCTGAGAGGAAAGGCCCAGAAGGCACTTGGTTCTAGAAAATCCTGAGTCTCTGCCCCTCAGGAAACCCCTCTTCAGTGGATTTGCCCCTGGTTCCCAGGGTCATGCCCACTCCCCTCCCCTGCACAGTGAGAAAGGAACCAGTGTCTCCCTTCCAAGTTCATTTGATCCAGTTACATCCTACAGAGGAACCGGATGCTTCTGAGCAATGTCAATTTGTAGTGAAGAGTAGACTGTCACCGAAAATTAATGAGTAATCCAATAATACAGCAAAGGCAGCGACAGAGATTTAAATTGTGTTTGTATGTGAACAGATATATTTGAAAACTGCTTTATGTGGTTGTGGGCAACCCAAATTACCATAGCTACACTTTATTTATTCATCTATAAAATGGGGTCCCCATAGGCCCCACTGAGATGTAAATGAAATATGGAAGAAATCTGCACAGCACCTGGCACAAGGTAGAACTTCACTAAATGTCATCTAGTGTTTGCTGTTATGTAGGCTGAGACAAAGGGACTGATACACATCCTCTAGGAAGAGTTTACCCCTAGGTGGAAGTTGGGGGGTGGCTTACGGCTGGGAGCTGGGTAGAGTCAGAGGCTCCTGTCGGGGAATGGGGGAAAATGAAAACTTGTGTAAAGGTGAGGTTTCCCAAGCACAGGGAAGTAAGAATAGGTGGCAGGGTATACACACAGGCCTCTGGAGACTCAGCCTGGTAGAGTCCCAGTCACCTGCAGGAATTAGCAGGTTTGGTACTAAAGATGATAAAGACTGAGAGGTGAACCTCTGGAAAAGCAAGTGAAGTTTTCCCACAACTAAGGTAAGCCTAGAAAAGGGGCCGCAAGCCCCAACTCAGAGACTTCCAAGGTCAGCTGCCAAATATCCTTACCGGCCAGAAATGCCAGATGTCTGCCAACAGTGACCCCCTGTGGCCTCCAGGAGCAACTGCAGTCACTCTTTAAGACAAGAATGTTGGACTAACTGGTTGCTCAGGGGTTCCTGAGCAACTGGAGAGCAGACAGAACCCTACATAGGGCACAACTGGACACATGGGAGCTCAGGCACCTAGACAGTGGGGTGCACTTCAAACTACAGATGGTTTCCAACTTATAATTTTCAATTTTAATGGGGGTATGTATTCAGTAGAAACCATACTTCAAGTTTTGAATGGGATCTTTTTCTAGGCTAGTAATAAGCAGTCCCATCTTCTCTCACAGTAGCAAGCCACAGTTCTTTATCAATCAGGTGACCACAAAGGTGAACAACGGACACACTACAGGGTGCTATGTTGCTGAGCCAGGATGTTCTGTAGTTTAAGGGGATGAAATGCATTCTAAGTTTGCCATATTTTTAACTTATGATGGATTTATCAAGATATCACCTTGTCCTGAGTAAAAGACCATCCGTAGTTACCTCCAGGGAGAAACTTCAGGACCCCCCATCCATGGATAGAAAACACCCCTCTTTTGTATTATACTTTAACTTTCTTTTCAGCCCCAAATTCCACTCTGCTCCTTCCCACTTCCAGGCCAGATGCCAGCTTCACAAGCTCTTCCAGGTTCAGTCTGTCCCAAGCTCACAGCATTTTACAATCACTGATATTCAACTGGGTGCAGTGTTGCAAACCTGTAATCCCAGCTACTCAGAGGCTGAGGCAGGAGGATGGCAAGTTTGAAGACAGCCTAGGTAATTTAGTGAGACCCTGTCTCAAAATAAAGTAAAAAGGGCTGGGGATAGAACTCAGTGGTAGAGCACTTGCCTGGCATTGCATAAAGCCCCTTGAAAGACAAGGAAGAATAAGAGAGAAAGAGAGAAAGAAAGAAAGAGAGAAAGAGAGAAAAAGAAAAAAGAAAGAAAGAAAGAAAGAAAGAAA